ATGATGAAGGAGAAGATAACATAATTGAAACAAGTGATGATGAAAATATTTCTTTAAACTCTAATATAGATTCAATTCTAAATAATCATTTATTATCATTTAAAATTTTAGAAGCTAAATAATGAATGTCATTTTTTTATTTGTATTTTATTATATATAAGTTAATTTTATTTATTATTCATCTTTTTTATCTTTTTTAAAGTATTGTTAACGGTAAAATAAAATTTAAAAAAAATTTATTTTGGTAATGATCGTCATTTTACACAAAATGAAATAAGCCAATCACAGGGAAAGCCCGCTATGTTATTATAATTATTATTTTTCATATATACTTATCCCTATATATATAATTTTATGTTCACTTTGTAGGTTTTTTTTTTACAATGACTTATCTATTAAAATTATAAAATTGGCTGGAATTAAAAGAAGTTTTAGGAAAGGTAGTTTGAGTACAATTGATTAGAAACAATAATCAAAAACCCATTAATGCAAAATCATGGTAAAATGTATTTATTCTACAGTTGTTTGTCATAATTGCCTCTCTTCATAAGTGATCATTGCAGTATCCGTAATGCCATAATTCTGCTATAATTACCATAATTATTTTATTAGTAGCCAAAATTATATTCAAAATTATTTGAATTCTTTGATCCAACAGTCAAAATATTGGGCAGTTTTTTATGTCCATTAATATAGAGAATATGGAAAAGCCAAAATATGCTGAAATATTTTGGCAAATGCAAAAACAATTTCAGCTAACAACTATGGTCCTGTTACCAATTATAGTAATATTAAATATAATATAATAATAGTTAATAAATAAATTATAATAAAAATTATAATGTTTGTGTTGCTGCAGGATGAAGAATTGTGATTCAAACATCATTCATCCTACAACATTATTTGTATTTTATTTGGAATCAGCCTGATAGAAAGTTCATGAAGGAAACCAGTTTATTTTGGGGTTTTACACTGAAAAATTTTATTTTAGTAATGCAAAATAAACCATTACACATTTTTATATATTTGGATTTTACAGAATAGGAGATTCTGTTCTTGATAAAGCTAAAATTCGATCTGACACAAATTTCCAAATCCCAATTTTGGTGTTACACATACCCATCATCAAAATCACATTACAAAGTCAACACTTGCTTATTTTATTGCAATAAAACATGAACTGACTTGGTCATGGAAGAAGAGGTAGAAAAAAATCAAAAATAATATTTGTTTATTATCACCATAAATCATCAAGATTTTGCAATAGTTTCAAATTTAATTTTATTCATTTTATTCTTTATACAACAGTTGTTGTCGTTTAAGACTTAAGATTTTTCCATAAAACTTACCCATGTTATTTGTTCCAATAATATATTCATCATCATCTGCTTCTATACTAGAAATATCATAGTCACCTATAAATACAAAAATACAATGCATTACCCCTCCTTTGTTTTTCACTTTTCTTTGATGTTCATTGAAATAAGTTGCTGACAACTTTTTGTTATTTTCACGTTTTTTTTGCTTTCAAAATATACTCTAATGACACCACTCCCATCCTCCTTCTTAAAACTAAACCATGAATCAGGCAATGGATCACTTCCACAGCCGATAATCATCTCTTCTCCAATATGTTTTTTTCCTTTGTACCATTCATGAAGTACTGTTGGATTACTTAAGTTCTCAGGAACAAGGAGTGCCATTTTTCCAACTTGTCCTTTAAGTCCAGGAAATATTT